AAGGCCTGTTTTGGTCTGTGTATAATTGGGATAGGGCTTTCCAGGTGACTCAGTTGCAAAGGATCCACCTGCAAAGCAGGTGATGCAGGCTTGATCTCTGGGTCAGGAAGATCTCCTGGAGAAGGAAATGGCTACCCACTCCAGTATTCTTGCCTGGAAAATTCCATGGACAGAGGAGCCTGGCAGGCAATAGTACATGGGGTTGGAAAGAGTCGGACACAACTTAACTAAACTACCACCACCACCATAATTGGGATGAATTTTTCACTGATAACCCAGACATAACCCTGGGTCACAGGAGATTATTCTTCTGAAAGAGTGACTTTCAACAAAACCATGGCCTGTCTCTGGAATTCTGTAGATAATTCTGCCCAGAAGTATCAAAGAGAACTTTGAACAAAAAGTCCGGAGAGGGATGAGTGCTCAAAAGTCCCTGGTCTCAGAAAGAGAGCTCTGTCCACCAGGGGATGGATCCCTCTGCCTGGAAAGAAGCTTTGAGACCACAGGATGGAGGTGGCTAGGAAGAGCCTGGCTTTGTTAACAGAATCTCAGAATGCTAAGCTGGAAGACAGACCCCTTAGAGTTTGAGGGAGGTCGTCCTGGTGACAAATAGAAGAAATATTGTTTACTACAATAGGTTATAAACATATGGGGCAAATTATGCTGAGGATGTCAGGGGAACTTGTAAATAGATTCAGAATGAATTTAGACGCATTCATGCATAATAGACCTTATTAGTAGGTCTTGAGGGCAGATTCTGTTGGGCTCATTACTCCTTTCAGACCAATGAAAAAGAAGGAAAATGACAAGATTAGAACTATAACATTCAAGCAACACACATTGCCCCTCACTTGGGTCAGAGACAAGCTTGGGTGTGGGGAATCACTGACCTGACATTCCATGGCATTTATCAGGTCCTTATCTTTTAATTGGGCTTCCCTGGTGGCTTGGAGGTTAAAGCGTCTGCCCACAATGCTGGAGACCTGCGTTTGATCCCTGGGTCGGGAAGATCCCCTGGAGAAGGAAATGGCAACCCACTCCAGTATTCTTGGCTGGAGAATCCCATGGACGGAGGAGCCTGGTGGGCTACAGTCGATGGGGTTGCAAAGAGTGGGACATGACTGAGCGACTTCACTTTCACTTTTCACTTCCCACTTTCTTTATCTTTTAATATCTTGGAGTCAAGAGCCTTGGGGTGTGTCTACACTGAATAGGATTAAGTGAATTTAGGAGGCAATGGAGGTATTGGTCAGAAAATGGTTGATGTTTCTGGGAGAAAAGTGGCTTTATCAATACTAAATAATTTCTGAATACAGGCGACTTCTCCCATTCAGATAACCCAGTTAAGTCAATCCTGGCATCTATTCAACCTTAAATTAGTACATATGGCCCCTACTTGTGCCCATTAGACATGTATTAGGACCAGCCGCTATCAGTTGATCTTGCCCCAGAGACAGGAGGAGGGCTGTGATTTAAACCCCCTCAAGTAGAAATGCTTTCCAAGTGACTCAGTGGTAGAGAATCCACCTGCCATGCAAGAGACACAGGAGGTGTGGGTTCAGTCCCTGGGTCAGGAAGATCCCCTGGAGAAGCGAATGGCAACCCACTCCAGTATTCTTGCCTGGAGAACCCCATGGACAGAGGAGCCTGGCGGGCTATAGTCCATGGGGTCACGCAGAGCTGGACATGACTGAGCGGCTAAAGCACACAGCAAGTAGAAACACAAGTGAGCAACACTGTCCTTAGCCACAAAGAGAAGCGTTCCCTCGACTGGAGACAGTGGAGCATCCTTCCAACAGTCTGGAGTGGTTCAGACACTTAGTGGCTTGGAAAAGAGGTCCCAGGAGGGACGAGTAGCCAGGAGGACACACAGCAAGGGGTGTGGAGGTGAAGGCCAGGCCTGCCCCCAGGACTCCCATCTGGGGTACCTGGTACTAAACCATGTTCACACTTTGCCGATTAGCTTGTTTGAATACGGGATGAAGGGTGGTGGACCTTGATGTCTGGGATGAAAGCTATTTTATTCCAGGATTTTATTGAAAATCTAACATTAAAAGAAAGCATCTGCGTTTACAGTTTAAGGATGTTTGGGCATCTGGCATTTGGAGCGCCATGTTCAGGGACATGTCAGAAAGCAGATGACTGAGGACCAAGATGAAGAGTGGCAGTACCCACCTCGAGAAATCAAAAGATGTGCCCTCCCTTCTCCCACAGAGAAGGCCTCCCTGGGGGAGGGGACACCTGCCCGCATGGCCCGCTCTCAGTTGTTAGCGGCTTCTGCCTCCGTGGCCAGCAGACTTCTGACTATCCCAGTCTTCCTCCTTGATTTTGCTCAAGGAGTTTGGAGAAATGTAGTACAGGATCAGAATTCCGTTTGTCTGATATTTTTAAAACCCAGTGCTCGTGACCAGTGTGCAATTACAGACCACTCCAGCCACCTCCACTGGAAAAATCTATTGCCAACCCAATGAAGTTTCAGTCTCGTTTGATCTTGACCCACATCGTGAACACACTTTATGTCACCACCCAGGACACACAGAGACACTCATACACGTAACTGAAATACAAGTTCCCTGAAATAAAACTCAGCTGGACCACCTGAGCCATGTGGCTATTCTCTATTCTAGGGACTTATTTTGGTAAACGCTGGTCAACACGCTCTCAGAGCTTCTTGACCCACAAGTGGTTCGTGACCTGCAGGGGAGAACCTGAGTAGGTGAGTCCCAGAGTAGGACGCACTGAGCCTTTGGGCCAAGTTCAAGGGCACCACCCCTCTGCTTGCTCCTGGGGGGGCTGGGGAGATGCAGGGTTTTGAAATGTGTCATTGGCATCAGCCAGCTTCCAGTGGAGGTTTCTGGACCCTGGCTTCTCTGGCAGGACTGCTGAGGAAAGAAGCTTCTTTCCGGGCAGAAGATGGATGGGCTTGGCCCACCAAGAGCCAGCAAAGGTTCTGCATTATCAACCCACCCATGCACCGTCCTCGCTCTGTAGGGGAGGGCTGTTGATTATCCAGTTTGGAATTCTGTTCCTCTAATTATTCCAGTCGACTGAGGCACCCACGTCTTTTCATTTTCCTCCTGAAACGACTGGTTCTGAAAACTGAGGTTTCACATCGGAAAGATAATGAGAACCTTCATGACTCTGGGATGAGATGCAGGAAAGGCACTGGTGGGACCACTCCCTGGAGACCAGGAGAGGCGAGCCCCGGAGGATGTGGGACTTTCTGAAACAGCCTGGGCCACCGCAAGGCACATTTATTCAGATTCTATTTTTCTAGTCTTTTCTGAGAAGTGCCATTTGCCTCTGAGTCTCAGAATCGTGGAGACAGGGAGAAAGGCTATGAGGGGAGCAGCTCTGGTGCCACGAAGTCACTGCCCGGAATGAAAGGTTTGCCATCAGATAAGTAGCACTGGGGGAAAGAGGTCAGGAAGAGGCCAGGAAGAGCAAGCCACGATTTTCTTAGATGTCACCGAAAGAAAACCAGACAAGTGTTAGCTTTGGGCCTTGTGGGAACCCAGACAACCAGGTGAGACATTTAAAATCCATGCTGTGTAACTATTTTGAATTTGTGATGCTGGATGGCCAGCTTGTCTGATGTTTTCCCCTGAAACCTCATAGAGAACAAAGTCTTATCTCCATGCTTGTGCAGACACATTGGAAATTGTCTTCGATGGGATCTTTTGGGGGGATTTTCATGGAGGAAAGCAAACTGTGCTCCATTACTTCAAAAATGCTGATTTTAAAACTTCTCTCTCTCTCTTTTTTTCTTGGTATGATGCCCAGATACAACTTTCCATATTCCCTGTTTTTAAAGAAATTTCTGAATTCACAGTGCGGTCAATTGAAACCTGTGGTCTTCATTCATGGGTGTTTTGGGTTGAAAGGAAACTAGCTGGCGGAGAAGATCAGGGTCTTGGCTCTGGGCAAGAGGATGGCCACTGAACAGTAGGAGTCCCGCTCACTTGCTAAGCCCCCAATTTATCGGACGGCCCTGAGTTTCATCCTGAGGGAGGGAACCACTCTTTCTGGGTGAGAACACGAAGAGCATGAGTGATATCTGTGACCTTGAAGACAGTCAGAGAGTCCTGCCCATTTTCATACTCTTAATGCCACCTTTCCAAGCCATAGGGATGGTCAGAAACAAAACACTGGCATTATTCATACATTAGAGAAAGAGAAGAAAATGATCAGCTGTCTGCAAACCTAGTTCTCCTTCACTCTCTCCAAGTCCATTGATAAATGCACTGTTTCTCCTTGACTTGCCCACGCGCCCAGGGAGGGTATTTCCAGGCTAGCAGGTCAGGGCTGGCCCTGCCATCAAAGGGCGCTCTGTCCGGTGGCTGCAGCTGGACCAAATCAGGTCCGTGCGGTCAGGAAGCAGCCTCTGCAAACTCCATCTGCTCTCTCCCCAGGTACCTCTGCAGTTGACTGAGGGCATCCTCGCAGGCCCCTGGGTCACCTCTAACCTTGAGGGCAGCCCCCTCCCACCCCAAAGGCACACACCCCCAGCCCGTCCTCACAACCCCTTGAGAACCTCCCACACTCAAGCCAGTCAATCCTCCAGCTTGAAGGAGAAAGAAGTGAGCCGCTCTCTCTCTCTGGGGTGTCGGCAGAGTGGCGGGAACACTGCACCATTGACAGCCCACACGCCACGTGATCCCCTGCAGCCTGCATGGTTTTTGAAAGACAGATCAGAGGTGCAGCCAAGATTTCATCCCTCTGCCAAATTCCTCAGCTATAGTTGTCAGTGAGAGGAGACGGTTTTGCAACTGGTGCAGAAGAGTCTCACCATCATATTTCTACATTATATCAAAATATCTGTTTATGTTTATTAGTACATACACGCTCTCAGAATAGATTATTAGCTGTTGGAATATGCTTTAGTCTCTGAAAAGCCAGAGAAGTTCTACCCTAGCAAAGCTGGACACGTTCTTAGAGGGCAACAGCATGCTCGTGAACTTGAGCCTGCCTTGACCTTGTTGTTCTAGGGCCGCAGAGCCCTAGGCAATGGCCAGGGGCACGGAGCTGCCGGCCTCCAAGGCCAGGGCCTCAGTACACTTTGTGGGGCTTGTCGTGACCTGTCGCAGGACGGAGAGCCTCTTTGCAGCTTTGCTCCAGGGCAGGAAGTACTGCTCGCTGCAAACAAGACCTAGAATGTCCCCAAGTGGCTAAGGAAAAGCAGAAGACAGAAACTGGCCTTGGAAGCCACAGGGGGCACAACAGAAAAAAGACAGGCGCACGACCTAGAGGACTTTGGTGTGGGGCGACAAGCTGAAGCTATGTCCCCAGGGCTCTGTCTTCGTGGTCTGGGCGGACCCAGGCTCTGCACCTGTTAAAATCTGCCCAGCTGATTCCTGTGTGCACCCTGGTTGAGAACCGCTGGTTTAGAGAAAGTGGATGTTGCTCAGTCTTCTCCAACCTTTTTCAACCCCATGGACTGTAGCCCTCCAGGCTTCTCTGTCTCTAAGCAAGAATACTGGAGTGGATTCCCATTCCCTTCTCCAGAGGATCTTCCCCACCCAGGGATCGAACCCAGGTCTCCTGCATTGCAGGCAGATTCTTTACCATCTGAACCACCAGGGGTTTAGAGAAAAGTGGTGAATAAGACAGACTTCCTGCCCTGGAGAGGTTCAGTCACTCTTAACAAACCTTTTTGCTGCCTTCAAAGGGCCCTGAGCTCCTCATTGTTAATACAAGAAAAACAAAACCCAGACTGTCCCGAATTGCCATTTCTCACACAGTTTGGCAAATATCCTAAGAGTTGGGAATAAGTGGGATGCTCATATACTGAAGGTGAAAGTGTAAGGATGACACAACCCCACGCCGGGCAGTTTGGAAATACCTGGCAAAATTTCCAGTGCACACACTCTTTGACCCAGCAGTTCTGCCTCTGGGAATCTACACTTCAGAAGAAGTTGCAAACATACAAAATGGCATGTTTACAAAGCTAGTCATTGCAGCACTCTTTGCAGTGATCCAAAGACACTGGAAACACCCTCAGTGTCCATTCGCATAAGGTGAGGTAAATGAATTATGATGCTGTACACACTGAAATACCATGTGGCCGTGAAAAATGATGGGGACACGGTCTGAAGAGAGGTGCGTAAAGAAGTCAGAGACTAAGTGGGAGACGGAAGGTGTGGGGGTGCGGAGGCAAGTGGGTGCAGGGGGTCAGACTTCCAGTTATAATGTAGTGAGTCCTGGGGCTGTAACGTACAGCATGGGGACTGTAGTTATAATACTGTGCTGCACGCTTGAAAGTTACTAAAAGAGTAGATTTTAAAAGTTCACATTGTAAGAAAAAAATTATAACTATGTGAGGTGATGTTAACTAGACACTTCGGTGATCCTTTCACAACAGATACAGATATCAAATTATGCTGCACACCTAAACTGATATAATGTTATATGTCAAGTCTATCTCACTACAAAAATTAAAATAAATTTTGAAAAAGCAAAGGAGCAGATGACAGAATAAGAACTGGGGAGAGGGCAGGAATGTATTTATTAGTATTCATGTAAAGAAATGCTGGAATAATAGACAATAAGCAAATAGAAAAAAAGGGGGTAATAGAGAATAGCGTGGGAGGAAAGAAGGGTGGGAGGAGAGAAGTATGGGAGTCAGACCCTTAATCTGTGATTTTCTTATTTTATTATAGTTTTTACTGGAGAAGCAAATGGCCACCCACTCCAGTATTCTTGCTTGGAGAATCCCATGGACAGGGGAGCCTAGCAGGCTACAGTCTACGGGGTCGCAAGAGTCGGACATGACTGAGCAACTAAGAACATGCACACACATAGTTTTTATCCTTTTGAATTACGTACCTATAGTGATCCTTCCATAAGACTTTAATTGAAAGAAAGTCCTGAGTTACACACACACACACACACACACACACACACACACACACGGTGATCAAATGCAGGTATCAGAACTGGTGAATCTTACTTGACAAGTATAGCCCAGAAAATACAACTAGTGCCCCTTCACTTTTAACAAAGATTTATTTTCTTTTGGGGGTGGTGTGCTCTAAGTCAAGATTTTTAAAAAGGAAATAGAATTATTAGGAGTCCTAAGAAGCTTAGGTGTTGAAGAAATTTAGAAATAAATGACCCTGTCCTTCAAGGCACTCAAGTTCAGAAGACTTGTGCCCATGGTCAGGGTCACACAGTCAGAGGTAGAGGCAGATCCAGGCCCTCGGCCAGCATTCTGTGTCCCTCCAGTCCCCTGGCAAGATGGCCGTGTCCTCTGAGACCTCCAGGAAGCGCTATCGGCTCTGGACTGGGGCCCCTGGAGGGGAAACAAGGCAAGGAACCAACATGGCTTCAGCCTGGAGAGGTAAAAAGGTGAAATTTAACCAAAGTGAACCTTATGTCATGTCTAAGAAACTGGAAAAGGAGCAGCTGAACTCTGTCCTTAGTGAAGAGCAAACTAGAATCAAGGTCCCTGCACAAAGCAGGAGGTGAAAGGAGGAAATTGCACATCCAGATGCAGAGAAAGATGCCGTCATGGGTGGTGGTGGTGATGCCTCATGCGGATCTCTAGAGAGGTGTCCTTCTCTTCTGCAGCTCTTCCCAGTACATGTCACTCGACACATTCACACAATTTGAGGAGAAGCTCAGCTAAGGCATGGCTGTGCCCGTGTCTCCCATGTGCAGGCTGCCGAGGCCAGGTCCTCCTTCAGTCCGTGGTGCCGGGGGTGTGAGCCCGAATCAGCTCCCAGTAGTCTCTGACAAGGCCGAGATTGGATGTTGGGGTACAGTGGGCTGCGTGCTGGTCCATGCCCCTGGTCCCACGCCCAGCCCTGCCCGTAAACCTGTTGCCTGTGAACTCAACAGGTGACCAGAGCCCTCTGCACGCATGGACACCATGGAGACCTGCTACCCTGGCATGTAGCCCAGCACCCTGTAAACTTTCCAGAAATGTATTTTGTACCAGTTTCCCTGTTGGCCCACAGCTAGACTGTCCTAGTGTCTCCCAAGGCCTGGAGGTTAAATGAGCTGAGTTCTGACCAATGGGTCGGGGGGTGGCAGGGGTGGATGTGTGACAGTGGGCCTGGCCCTTTAAGACTTCCTGCCCCTCTTCTTCTGGATGGATGAGATGCAGAGGAACCAGGCGGTGAGGATGACAGCACTGTACAAGGAAAAGGGCTACAGTTTGAGCTACTGCTTGGAGAAGAGCTGGTCACTGGTCAGGATCACCTGTTTGGGATATTTGCACAAGAGATGAGCAGACTTCAATCCACTGGCCGTGGGCATCTCTGTGATGCAGGTCATGGTGGCTGGGGTCAGCATAACTGTTCAGAGGGTTATAAGGACTGGAATGTGCAGCCAGCAGCTTCTTCTGTTTGGCACAAACTGGTGTTTCTTCCCAGAGTGAACACCAAAACCACTGGCCGTTTTTCACATGGCATCAGCCTTGCTGAAGGAGCGTGAGTTACCCCGAGCAGCACAGAAAAAGTTCTACTGGAAGTAAATATTTGCTGAGTGAATGAATGAACTTCATGCCAACTCTACAGACGTGAAAGGCCATGATTCATTATTTTATGAATAATCTACCTTGTTTGCTACCTGTTTTACTTGTATTAAACACTAAAAAAATTGAATAAGATAGTATTTCTTTCCCTGGGCACCATTTCTTATAAAAATCTTTTGGCACCGGATATTATTTAATTAACATGAAACAATATACATCAGCATTGACAAAGAAGTTGGTGTATTAAGCCCATTCACTAGCTGCCAAATTTCCCATCATTGGAGCATCCTCATCTCTCAGACAAGGACAGAAGATAGGAGAACAATCCCCCTTTGGTTCCTTATCCATAATCACGTGGCAGCCCCCCAGGAAACCCGCAGTGATCTTCACATTGATGCCCAAGCAGTTTTCATATCTCGGGCCTTTTTCAGCTTCAATCAGCTTATGTCCTAATGTTGTACATGTGAGTCATATGCTGAGCCTTCCTGCTGGGTTTGGGGGCCTTTGTCCTGATCCCTTGAAGTACATCTCTTTCATGACCGTGTCATGCTGTACTTCCTGTCAGTAAAGGGGTCACCTCTAACTTTCTGTAGAGCTCACTTTTCTATGACCAAGTCAAAGACATTCTGCAAAACCCTCTCTTGATGAATAAGTAAGTAACTGGATGGAAGGATGGATGGGTAGATGGGTGGTAGATGGGTAAATGAATGGATGGATGGAAGAATGGATGAGTAGATGCCTGGATGGATAGATGGGAGGATAGTTGGATGCTGGTCTTTAGTAGCCTCTACCTCCATACATCAGAATGCTAGGAACCTCAGAAGCTTTGTGGACCTCTAGAGGCTATGCCTCAGGAGTTTAGAATTAAGACCAGTTGCCTCTCCAAATGATCAACTGTGCTCCCCAACCAACATGCCAAGGAACCCCACTGAGAAATGTATTTTACTGGGCAGAAGCTAAACCATAAAGATCTTCCCATCTTCTTTATGGGAAAAGATTGAATAATGAATGATCTCGTGCATCATTTACCTTTTCCATTTAGAAAATTTGAAAAGTTTAATTTGAAATTTAGTTTGGTTAGGTTTTATCTGCATCTTCAGTCTGAGATAATATTTTCATGGAAGGTACAATTTTTTTCTTCATTTTTCCTTCCCCTCTGGCATAATCTTGGACACTTTGCCTGACTTTTTCAGGTTATAGGCATTGCCTGCTTGGCACCATTTAGGACTGGTCTGTGGTTGGTTGACAGCATGCCTGCGTGGGCTTTCTGAAAAGCAGCAGCATTTGGAGTCAGAGTGACAGCTCTGCTCATTCAAGCAGGAAGCCCAGCCAACTGGCAATGACCCCCTGACAATAAAATATTAATATGAAGAAACAGTCTTTTTATCATCTAAGGTATTTGTAGCAGATTCTCTGAGGCACTTTCTTCCCTGCCTCATTCATTCATACTGTGTGGAATACACTGAATTCCATCTGCTTATAGCCCTGGAGGGAGAAGTCATGCTGGCTTTCATCCAGTGAGTCTTGGCAGCTCCCACTGTACGTCGCTATTTGATGAAGGATTTGGCATGTGCACCGAGGTAAGCCTTTCTGTGGCGTTATCCAGAATGAGCTTCCTAGTAGAAGGCACTCCCCTCAAAGGTTCTTCCCAAAGACACTGCCACAGTGCTTACTGTGGGTAGAAGTTGCATG